GTTAAAGAAGCATTATAAGCACACAAGAACGAATTACATGGAGACCCCTTTAAGAGATCAAGGGTGGTGCCTACAGAAAACAATGGCAGAGCACAGAATGCCCTTTGTTTTCCATTTGAGCAGGACAGTTCTGGGACTGAATGATCTTATTTTTGAGCCTCACGTAGCAACAAATGGGGACCAGAACACTTATTCTACACAGTTTCCATCTTCTGCAGCACATCACAGAGGAAGATCTATCTGCATATCACAGAGGAAGATCTTATTCTTATTTGAAAGTATTATTCCTATTTCAAGACAATTATGAAAAGACATGGAAAGAAATAAAATCAGATTTACAAAGATGGATCACATCAAAGTTGTCACTATTGGGAAGAATATCTGCTATCAAAATGAATATACTACCAAAAATGATATTTCTTTTTTAGAGCATTCCAATTAAATGATGCACCTTTTAAACAATGGAAAAAAGACTTAACCAAATACTTTTGGCAGGGCAAGAGGACTACAATTAAAACCAAGGTTCTGTAGGATGAGAAGCAAAGGGGACAATCTGAAATTGTACTTCGAAGCATGCTTACTAATTTGGATGAAAGATGGACTAATCTTAAGAAATGTGAGACTGTTAAAATTAGAAGGTCATAATTTACATTTTGGATGGCATACATATATATGGTAGCAAAAAATACAGACAGATTTTAGTTACCATTTTATAAGATGAGCCATACTAAGAATCTGGAACAAGTACAAAATTAAACTATGTCCAAAAACCCCATTATCTGTTTTAACAGAAGAAGCTTTTACAAGTTAGATAAGAAGAAGGGAGATCACTGGATTACATACAGAGATGTAATAATAAATGAAGATGATAAATACAGATTTAAAACTCAAGAAGAACTGAAGGATGCAGGACTTCACCTACAGTGGTACAGATATAGGCAACTGGAAGAAAGATTTACACTAGATAGTAAAAATATGGGATTTGAAAGAGACCAATCAGAATTTGAAAAGGAACTGTGTACTAATGAAGAACACCTTATTGGAAAATATACAAAGTATTACTGAAGATGGAAATGGAAACAGAATGGATAAAGAATTGTATGACTAAATGGGCACAAAATGTCAGGCACAACTTAGAACTAGACAAATGGGAAAAATGTGGACTATTGGCTTAAGAAAATTCAATGCTATGACCTTAGAGAAGTTTTTTATAAAATGATGAACAGGTGGTACCTGACCCCAGCAAAACTAGCTAAAATGTATAAAATGTACACCATCCCCCCCCCCCGCCACCCATTTCCATAGCCACCCAACATATTCTTATGGTAACTTAATAATCAAATTTATTACATGGTATGCTTTTGTGGACTTCAGTCGACCTCAGGCTAATACTGCAACTGTCAGGTGTAAAGGAAGATCGTAGCTCAATAGTAGCACATATGGGCCTAAATATAATGGTTAGTTTCTAATAAAATAGTGAATTAATGCAATTTTGAGGTCTGTTGGAAACTAGGCAAGTGAGGTTTATATAACTTTGACTTTAGTCTCATGGCTTGTTCATGGCCCAAGACCAAAAAAGAAGCCACGAGAGTAAAGACAAAGATCCACCCAGAAGAAAGGTGTTCTCACCATACATCAAGAAACCTACTGACCACATAGGGAAGCTCTTGAAGAAACACAACCTACACACTATCTACAGACCCACTAAGAAAATTCAACAAATGCTATGTTTAGCTAAGGACAAGAGGGATCCTCTCACCTCTGCAGGAGTCTACCGTATACTGTGCAGCTGTGGACAAGTCTACATAGGGACCACCAAACATAGTGTCTAAACATGAATCAAGGAACGTGAAAGGCACTGCAGACTACTTCAACCAGAAATGTCAACCATAGCAGAGCACTTGATGAACCAACCTGGACACAGCATATTATTTGAGAACATAGAAATGCTGGACCACTCTAACAATTACCATGTCGGGCTACACAGAGAAGCATTGAAATCCATAAGCATGTGGACAATTTCAACAGAAAGGAGGAAACCATGAGAATGAACAAAATCTGGCTACCAGTATTTTTTTAAAAAAACTTGAAAATCAGGACAATAAATAAAGAGAAACACTTAAAAACAGGAGAGCTTCAGACAAGAATCAACTAGGGCAAACTAACACCTCCCAGCAACGGATCCCCCTCAGACAGCAACCAGCCAGGCTTTGAAGTTGCAAGGCCATTAAATCAAAGTGATCAATTGCAACATAAACACTTGCCACAAGCAGACAAGAGTTCTTTCTCTTTATATATTCCAGAGTTATATAAACCTCATTTGCATAGTTTCCAACAGACCTCACAACCTCTGAGGATTCTTGCCATAGATGTGGGTGAAACATCAGGAGAGAATGCTTCTGGAACATAGCCATATAGCCCTGAAAACTCACAGCAACCCAGTGATCCCAGCCATGAAAGCCTTCGACAACACAATCATAACTCTTGCTTGGAGTCTTATTGAAGTTCATAAATCCTTTGGAGGGAGGGTCCCATGGCTCGACAACAATATAGCAGCTGTCTCTATTTCTATACTTCAGCTGCCGAATTCCAAGGCAGGTTATCCAGAAAGGTGACCAAGGCGCAGTCAGGTCCAAACCGTGACTGGGCGGGGGGCAATAGTAGGATACATCTGCACTGTAGAATTAATGCAGTTTGGCACCACATTTGTTTATTTATTTACCATGTCAGGAGCAAACCAAAACAGTTGTATTGCATTAAAAACAAACAAATAAAACACAAAGTTTGCAGACTTGGTATTCTATCAAATGTCCTTTGACCAGTAGCTGTCCACTTCGAGTGCCTCTGGTGTTGTTGCAAAAAGGTCCTCCATTGTGCATGTGGCAGGGCTCAGGTTGCATTGCAGTAGGTGGTCTTTGGTTTGCTCTTCTCCACACTCGCATGTCGTGGATTCCACTTTGTAGACCCATTTCTTAAAGTTGGCTCTGCATCTCGTGGTGCCAGAGCGCAGTCTGTTCAGCGCCTTCCAAGTTGCCCAGTTTTCTGTGTGCACCACATGACGTTGGAGGTGTCTACGGACAATGCTGGCTCTTCGGCTTAGAAATGGAAATGAGCACCAACCCCCAAAGTTGGACACGACTGGACTTAATGTCAGGGGACAACCTTTACCTTTACCACCTCATCTGCCATGGCTCAATGCTATTGAATCCTGGGAGTTGTAGTTTCATGAGGCATTATTTGACAGAGAAGGCGGTTTGGGACCTGCATACCTGTGTGACCGCATTTCTATTTACGAACCCACGTGATCTCTATGATCATCTGGAGAGACCCTGCTCTCGCTCCCGCCCCCTTCACAGGCACGATTGGTGGGGACGAAGGAGAGGGCCTTCTCTATGGTGGCCCCCCAACTCTGGAACTCACTCCCCAAGGATATTAGACATGCCCCACATTGGCAGTCTTTAGGTGGAGCCTGAAAACGTGGCTGTTCCAGTGTGCCTTCCCTGAATAAAGGAAGCAATGCTCTGCTCTGACCAATTCCCAGCAAAATTTCCTCAGAAGCACTGGGTTGATCTCCCTACATTATCCTTTAAACCCCTCTGCTTAGATATACTCTACCTCTGTACTCTACCCCAGTGTTTATTTTAAAATTTTAATCTATTACATCTGGCCTGGCCATAATGTTTTAAATTTTTGTGTGTTATATCTGAGTTATATTAATTGTACTGCTTTATTTGCTTGCTGCTTTGTTGTTTTACTGATGTCTTGTTGGGCTTGGCCTCATGTAAGCCGCACTGAGTCCCCTTGGGGAGATGGTGGCAGGGTATAAATAAAGTTTATTATTATTCAAATCCGGGGAGAGGCGGTTGAGCTTCCTCTATCAGCTCCAGCTTCTCATGTGGGGACATGAGAGAAGCCTCTCACAAGGATGATAAAACATCAAAAATCATCCGGGCGTCCCCTGGGCAACGTCCTTGCAGACAGCCAATTTTCTCACAACAGGATGCTCCTGACACGACAAAAAATATTATTATTATTATTATTATTAAAACTATAGTCCTCCTGTTTCCTTAGTATTGAGCCCTGGCATTTAAAATGGTGTCCAGCTGCATTAGCTCCAAAAAGTAGATGCAGCTCTAAATATCCCAGGTAACCTATAGTTGAGGAAGCCTCATATTAAAACCTAGTGGCATTTCATGAGGAAGCGCTTTTTTCTCTCCTCCCCACCCTATTTGGGCCACAGTGGAAGAAGAAACACTTAGCAAACGCGGGGGAGGGGGGAATTGCTAGAATTTGGAAATGGGGGGGGGGGGGGGGTGATAATCTTCCTCCTCCTCCTCCTCAGCCCCAGAAATCCATAAAACGACTGGATGGGAGCACCAAGGAGAGCTGCCCTTGTTTCATTCCATTGGCTCCCCGTCCTGTCACTCAGGGAGAGCCCCGCAAAGGCTTGCTAAATGCTCATTAATTGGCCCGCAGGCCGAATGATGGCTCCCCGGAGGCCTCCCCTTCTCTTCCCTTGACCTATATCTCTCCGCTTTGACTGCTCCGTCCAAGCCGGCCGCCAATCCCCGGAGGCCTTGAGAGGATGCCTCCCTGGAGCCCTCGCCCCGCATTCGGCTCTTGAAACTCAAGGAGAGGCGACGCGCTGCCTGTCAGCCTCTTCCCGGCTCGCTATTGGCCAGGAGCCTGATTGGACCGGGCTTGATATTCCCGCCCACCACCACCACCACAGCCGCCGCGGTTTCCTTCCTCTCTCGCGGTGGCAGCCGCGGCCCGCTTTCTTCCCTCTCTTTCTGCGGACTGCTGGGGGATCCGGTGCCTTGGCGGAAAGCTGGCTTCCGATTGGAGGGTGTGGCGAGGTAGGCGGGCTCCTTGCGAAGAATGCTCGGAGCGGATTGGCCCGTCGAGGCGAAGGGTGGGGACGAGTGGGCGGGGCCTCGTGCTGCCAGTCAGTCAGCCAGGCTGTCAGGCGGTGAATTGGGATTGCCGCGGGAGGGGGGAGGAAAAGGAGGGGAGAGGAGGGGAGGGGGGGCTTGGTTGGCGGTTGGCAGCGGGCCTCCTTCACCGCCTCCGCCGCCTCCTCCCTCAGCGTCTCCTCCTCGCCCTCTTCCTCGCCCTCCATGGCCACTGCGGCTCCCGGCGTGGCTCCCTCCGCCGCGCTGCATGTGCTGCTCTCCGAGGAGGCCGGGCCCGGAGGCTTGGGACCCCCGCCTCCCTGAGGAAAGAAAGGGACCTGACATGGCCGCCCAGGTAGGAGCAGCCTCGGGAGGCCCCCGGCCCATTCCCCGCGCCTGGAGGCCTCGCCACGGAGCCCCCCTCGCCAGCCAAGCCTTTCCAGATATGCAGGGTGTGTGGAGCGCTCCCCTCAGGGCTTCCTTCTCTCAGAGAAAGTCTTCCTCCTCCTGCCCCCCCCTCCCGCGAAGTCTGAGGAGGCAGCCAAGTTCAGAGCCTCTCCACCCTTGCAGCCTCTCTCTATGGTTGTGTGTGTGTGTGGGGAGGGGGGTAGGGTGTTTATGGGGGGCTAGGGGGGCATAAATCCTTAGGGACTCTATCCTCCCTGCCCCCTTCCATGGGGAAGGGATGGTCCTTCTCTTCTCCTCCTTCCTTCACTGGGAATGGACACTGACAGGGCTTCCTTCCCAAACTGTGAAGGTGTGCCACAGCCTGTGCTCATTCCCCTGAAGTCGTTCACGGCTTGTCCTTTCTTGCCCCTTGCCAACTAAGGAGTGGTTTATGACTGCTTTCCCCAAGGCAGCTCACTGCTTAGCCATTTATTGCGTAGACAGAAGGTGTTGTTCAGTCCTCTTTGTTTATGTTATCAATCTCTGCGTGTCATTCGGTGTGCAGATTTTTTAAGCCCGGCACTAAAACCGAAAATGGGAGCTCGCTAGTATATGTGCAGCTGATGTGAGATTTGAACCCTGTTTCCTCTGACAGATAAGACCAGTGAATAATCACTGGCAGTTGTGATGGTTGTGTTGTTGTGTCCAGTATTGGAGCCAGCATGAGGTAATGCTTTGGGTGTTGGACTGTGGGTGCATCTACACTGTAGATTTAATGTGACACCACTTTAACTGCCATGGCTCAACACTATGAGTGCGGGAACAGCAGTGGCGCAGTGGGTTAAACCAGTGGTTCTCAACTTGTGGGCCCCCAGGTGTTTTTGGCTCCTTCTTTGGAGGCTTTTAAACAGAGACTGGATGGCCATCTGTCGGGGGTGCTTTGAGTGCAATTTTCCTGCTTCTTGGCAGGGAGTTGGACTGGATGGCCCATGAGGTCTCTTCCAACTCTATGATTCTAACTCCCAGAAATCCCAGACAGTTTACCAGCTGTTAGGATTTCTGGGAGTTGAAGACCAAAACATCTGGGGGCCCCACAGGTTGAGAACCACTGGGTTAAACCCTTGTGCTGGCTGAACTACTGACCTGAAGGTCAGAGGTTCAAATTTGCAAGACAGTGTGAGCTCCCATCAGTCAGTTCCAGCTTCTTATATGGGGACATGAGAGAAGTCTCCCACAGGATGATAAAACATCTGGGCATCCCCTGGGCAACGTCTTTGCAGACGGCCAATTCTCTCACACCAGAAGCGACTTGCAGTTTACTCTCAAGTCACTTCTGACATGATAAAAAAAAACCTATGGGTTCCTGGGAGCTGTAGTTTGGTGAGGCACTCACATTTTGACAGAAGAAGCTGAAGATCTTTTAAAACGACAACTTCTGTGATTCCATAGTATTGAACCATGGCAATCAAAGTAGTGTCAAACTATATTAATTCTACAGTATGGATGCCCTTAAGTTCTGAAGACCAGGATTTGAATCCCCACTTAGCCATGGACACCCACTCTGTGACTTTGGTCAAATCACACACTCAGCCTCAGAGGAAGACAAATCTTGCCAAGCAAAAGCCAGTCATAGCTTCAGTATAGGATCATTGTAAGTTGGAAATGACCTGAAGGTACACAGCAACAACAATGCCACTTCATACAAGATGCTGGGGAAGAGAACAGGAGCGTGCTGTTGTGTTTTTGTCATCCTTTCCCCATAGTCACCTGGTTGACCACTGGATGAACAGAACGTTGGGCTGCATAGGCCTTCAGTCTAATCCTCCTCAAGATTGTTCTTACATTATTTGCTCATGGCCATGCTCAACATCAATTGGATCACACCACCTTCCTTTACTGTGGTAGTTAGTGTTGTCCTTACTTTGGAGAAAGGTTATACTTCAGGGATAGGGATGCACTTGGCTTGAGGAATTAATCTGTGTGCAGCCCCTTGTTACCATATTTCCACTATAGTCAGAAAATGAGGAGGCCTTTTCTGTTCATGAACAGATGAGGCATCCATTGTCTTAATGTTCAGTGCAAATTTAGAGAGTATCATAATTCCAAATCTTTGAATTCAGTCATGTTGCCATTGTCCAGTTGGTAACAACTGAAAGGTTTTTATTATGTTCATTTCTGTTGGATTTTAGTAAGTAGGATAGTAATCTAAGGTACATGTTTTTCTTGATACAGTTTTAATACAATGCATCACCATCCAGATATCTGTCCTTCATTGAAATATTGTGATATACATTTAGATTTAGTATTAATGTTTACACAATCTGTACAAAATAGGCAGCCTTGTGAAGTTTATCTGCTGTAGTCTGAATCTGGAAGAGAAAATAGCTTGAAATAACCATGTATTCATATTAGCTTCTTAAAAGCTGGGCAGCAGAAATTGGAAATTGTGGATTTTAAAACATATATATCCAGGATCTTTATATTTGTATTAATTGAAGACAAAATAAAGAACTGCTTTTCCATAACCCTGCATACCATTGAGTACCAGTGGGAAGCTTTCTAATATTATTAGTTGTTTTTAGTTCTAGTTGAAGTCCAGTATTGCAGCCTAAACAATGAGGGAACTGTTTCCAAACAGTATCTCCAGAAGAGGGAAGAATTAATGTATGCATGCATGCCAACTGTTGTTGAATGCCTTGAAAAAAGAGTGTATGTGCACACAAAAATCTCAATTGGCTATCATAGTTATTAAGTAGCTCTTGGCTGTAATTGTCAGAACTCTTGTCACCGAAAATATCCAAAGTACCAATGTAGAGTTGAAAAAACATTTTGCCTTGGTAGCGCTAACTCTTGAATTATTTTTTTCTGGCTTCTGTTCTACTGTAGAAGTATATATGTTTACAGCCATAACTCTACCTGAGTATATAGGTTCATAGCTGTAGCTGTACCTCAGCTAGAGTTGAATATTTGGTGGCAAAGAGTCATTTCTAGTTTCTACAGTTAAAAATGAATGATTTTCTTGGAATCTCAGCTAAGACTTAATATGTAATGTCTTCACTCTTGATGTCAGCAATCTGAAATCATGTCATAACTCAACTGACAATTGAAAGTGATTTCTTCTGTGAACTGTGGTAAACCTGGAATATAGAATCGTTTTAGAAGCTTAAGAGCTTTTTCAACTATCATTTTGACATTCATGGAGCGTTCAGTTCTGTGAGAATGAGGGCAGCTAACCATTTGACAGAATGGAATGTGGTGACAATACCAATCTTTTATTCTCATCATTTCGAATCCTCTTGTACTCCTAGGTCTGTTACATTGATATGGACAGACGTAAGATTTACAGACTGATTTTTGGTACAATTCATTGTTACTAATACTTATCTGTAGAATAGTTTCCTACTTGAAAGATTTTGAGTGAGTTAATACTTTTAGACAATAGACTTTGGAGATGAAAAGGACTGTTTAGAGTTCTTTGTTCTGATTACCCATTTTCCCTCCAATAAAACAAGGGTCCCCAAACTAAAGCCCATGGGCCAAAGGTGGCCCTCCAAGGTCATTTACCTGGTTCGACCTATATCTGAAATGACTGGAAGGTATACAATGGCAATCCTAATTAACTTGACTATCTTGTCAACCAAATGCAGTCTCTCACTTCCCATTGAAATAGTGGGAAGTTTATGTTTGTTAATATTGTTCTTCATTTAAAATATTGTATTGTTCTTTCATGGTTGGGTTTTTTAAGGTTACAAATAAGATATGTGCAGTGTGCATAGGAATTTGTTCATGTTGTTTCAAACTATAGTCTGCCCCCCCCCAAAAAAAAAGTTTGTGGGACCGCAAACCAGCCCTCTGCTTAAAAAGTCTGGGAGGGGGGCTGCAGTAGAGGTGTGTCTACCATACTTTACTGTATGCTGACTTGGGTAGACTCAAGGAAAGTCTTATTGGTCTGTAGTACTAGTTGAATAGGTGAAGAACGTGGTTCTATTTATTTTAATCTACTGCCATTTAAAAAAGGTAAAGGGGAACTACTTAAACTCAAATAATTCATTTTGCTTTGGAAATTTTTATAAGTTTAGGAGAAATTTCTTAAAGTCATTGGGCAAGTACTTGCAATTGAAAATACAGTACTGCTAGTGATTACTTTTTGTGTAGTAACTAATATAAAATATTTTCTAGGGAGTTGCAGAGTTAGTCTGTTGCGCTGTTATACAGCATTGTTGTTGTCCATTCATTCAGTCATTTCCGACTCTTTGTGATCTCATGGATCAGCCCATGCCAGAGCTCCCTGTTGGCCGTCACCTCCCTCAGCTCCTTCAGAGTCAAGCCAGTCATTTCAACGATGCCATCCATCCATCTTGCCCTTGGACGGCCCCTCTTCCTTTTTCCTTCCATTTTCACCAGCATAATTGTCTTCTCTAAGCTTTCCTGTCTCCTCATGATGTGGCCAAAGTACTTCTTTTTTAAAAAAATAATTTTATTGAGTGTTTTAAAGGGTACATCCAAAGGGTTAATTGTCATAAAAGGATATATGGGGGCTTAGGGAGGAGGAGAAGGGAAAATAGGCATGATGATGAAGAAGAAGAAGAAGAAGAAGAAGAAGAAGAAGAAATGGTGTAGAGGGATAGGTATTGTGGGTTGAGTGCGGGGAGGGTTAATATTTTATGTTAATGATTTCCCCCCTTATAGCAGTGTTAATAGTTGCTGATTTATCAGAGCTTCCTCTCTGTCGGCGTGTATCTAGTTAGTGTTGGGGAAAAAAGTTTTTGACTAAAGTCCAGTCTGTTTTGGCTGAGTCAATATTCTGTTTGGTTTTCAGTATTGGGTTAGATAATCCATATTCATTATATCTAGTAACTTGAGCATCCATTCTTCTAAGGTTGAAGCCTCTTTAACCTTCCATTTTATAGCGAGGACAATTCTCGCTGCTGTAGCCATGTGGAAGAGTAGCTTGTCTTTATTCTTTTC